TAATGAAATAGTTCTCCAGAAGATAAAGCTTCTGAAAGTTATTGGCAATGTCTACTTTGTCCACTTACATTTAAAAAAATAGAAATCAAAGGTGATTGGGATTCCTGTGATGAAAAGTGTTTCGTTCAATAATTTCCCCTGTTATGAACAAACCATATGTTTTTTAAAAAATGTTAAGGAACTTACAATAGATGTAAAACAAAGATTAGCTTTTGGTTCTGAACAATCTTTGACCAAATGCTGCCAAGACTAGTGGGGCAGAGAGACCTTCAGGTATTGTACTACATTTCCCAGCATCCTTTGCCATTGCTCAGGCTGTCTGAGGCTGCTGGAAGTTGAAGATCAGGAAATCTGGAGGACAACAGGTCCCTCCTTCCAGAACTAAAGAAGCTTGTATATAAAGTCCCAGTGGTTCCCTTTGCTGATTCCATCTTTTTTCCTGTTTGCTCAAAAGAATTGAGAAACAGATTTGGTTTTTTAAAATCATTTTAAAACATCATGTACATTAAAAAAATCAGGGCACTCATGCTTAAGGGTCTTGAACACTGACAGAAATTTTGATGCAGCTTCATGCACAACCAAATGTTACATTGCAAGCTGGTTCTACACACACACACACACACACGCACACACACAAATATGCAGTGGGATAGAGAAGAAGCTGACTTAAAATATATACAGCATTTTTTGTGATGAATATTTACAAATCTGTCAAAGAACAGAAACAAAAGAAAGAGACAATCCTAAGTGTTAATGAACATCTGGAGAAGACATAAACATTTCTGGGCTTTGGTAGATGTTTGTTGCTAAAAGGGATGTTTTCCATAGGCAGTGTTGCTCCCTAGGCAGTGTTGCCATTATTAGAGCTCATGGTTTGCCGATGTTAGTCTTAAAATTGCTTGAAGTGATTGTATCTCACAATACTGCAGACTATGACCCAATGGTGTGCTGAATTCACCTCAGAGTGCAGCTATTTCTTATGCTAAGGGAAGCTAACAAACCAGTTAATGCATGACAATCTATATCTATACAGATTCTCAGTCATCCAGGTATGGTTGTCCCAAAGGTGCTTTTATTCAGGAGGCAACAGGACTTTCTTGTGTTTCTTTTGAAGACATTTTGCTTCTCATCCAAGAAGCTTCTTCAGCTCTGATTAGATCAGTGGTTCTCAACCTTTTTAATGCCGTGACCCCCAACCGGTCATAAGTTGAGGACTACTCAACCAGTCATAAGTCAAGGACTACTCAACTGGTGCAGCACCAATGCAGAATGGGACTTTTGGCGGGCTCAGCAGGTCAGAGACAGCCTGGACAATTCCTATTGGCTTTTGAAAGCCAATAGAATTAGACTCTATTCAAGAGAGTCTATTCTATTGGCTTTCAAAAGCCAATAGAATAAAAGGGAGTAACACAGCTAAGGAAAAGGGGAAAAAATGGCGGACTGCATTGTTTGGCGACCCCCGTGAAATGGTCGTTCGACCCCAAATGGGGTCCCGACCCACAGGTTGAGAACCACCGGACTAGATGGTGGGCAGTGGAAGGATTTATATTGCTTGCAGACAGATGGTCATTTGCATTTCTTTAGAGCAGGCATGTCAAACTGCCGGCCCACGGGCTGGATGTGTTACACCGAAACCACACCCACCCCATTGCCGGCAATGGGGAAAAAGTCCCAATATGTCGTGCGATGTCACGTGACATCACGAGTTTGACATGCCTGCTTTAGAGAGTCGTTGAAACCATTTTGGAGAGCTTCAAAAGAAACACAAGAAAATCCAGTTGCCTCCTGAAAAAAGCACCTATGGGACAACTATACCTGGATGACTGAGAATCTCCATAGACATTGAGCTATGCGCTTTGGGATGAACAAATGGTGAGAGTATGAATGGATTTCCAGAAAATATTGCAGACTACAGGAACCATTTGTGCTTCAGTTTGAGATTCAGACAGCACAGACTCCTCCCCAATAGCCTGTGCCTGTTTTCAACAGTGAAGGGACACAGGGCAGAAAACAGCCGTAGCCAAGAAGGCTCCATACACATTTGCATTTCTCAGGTGACCCTGAGGACACAGGTAAACCTCCAAAACGGTTTCAATGACTCTCTAAGCAGGGGTAGTCAACCTTGGCTCTTTTATGACTCATGGACTTCAACTCCCAGAATTCCTGAGCCATCCTTCCACTCCCCACCATCTAGTCAGAGCTGAAGAAGCTTCTTAGATGAGAAGTGAAATGTCTTCAATAGAAACACAAGAAGGTCCAGTTGCCTCCTGAATAAAAGTACCTTTGGGATGATTATCTATGGTTCAGGATCCTGCATGCAAAGAAACCTACACGGGAAAGGCTCTATCAGGAGTCAGGCTTTGGATCAGGATTCCAGCCATTCATTGTCTCCAAGTGATGCTTTCCATTGTCCCCTTTTTGCTTGTCCTTTTTATGCATTTAATACTCTGTGACTACTAAGCCTGCTGAATCCTTGCTGGTCTCTCAATTGCCCTACTACTGTTTTTTTGTTTGTTTTTAAACTGAAATTCTACCCTGAATGTGTGGACCTATCCCTCTTGCACTTTGGTGGTTTCATTTTGGCCCTGTTGGGATTTACTGTTGGTTATGATATGAGCAAAGTTCAGGAAGGAGGTGATACTTGCCTCTTTTTCAGGGGGTGAATTTCCAGCCCAGCCTCTTTTCTGCACGTCTCTCCTATCATGTCATGTCATCATGTTGCCCAAGAACTTTCTTTAAGATGTGAAGTTAACATATAATCCATGTTGTTCCCTCACATGATGAAGTCATATGATAGTAGGACTGTTAAGAGAGTGCAGTACAATGGCAGAAAAATGTTACATAGAAAGATAGTGGACTTGACTAAAGTAGCATCTAGATTAGACTTTCTCAGCCTCTTGTTCTCCAAAGGCGTGGCAGCAATTTCTTTATAAGAATGGCCAAAGAAGACTGATCTTTTCCCTCAACTACCATCTAATTGTAAAGCATCACTGCTACTTTGTCCTTGCTTCCTATTGGAAAAAGAAGGCCTACAAGAGGAAAATGAGCAAGAGCAAGCCATTTGGAGAACTCAAGATTTGACATGACAGAAAAAGTTAACAGTCTTTAAAATCTCAACTTACGTTCTTAACGTTCTCTTATCCAAGCACATGAAATGTTGGGTCCCTGTCTAGTATGGCTTTAATAAAAAAAACAATAAAAAAGGCCAGGAGACACTGGATGGAATAAAGCAGGACAGGCCAACGAGTTGAGAAAAGAAGAACAAGTTAAATAATACTTTAAATATGTTAATACATGTTAATATGTGCTTAGGGCAGTGATGGCAAACCTTTTGAGTGCCCAAAGTGCAACCCAAAACCCACTTATATATTGTCGGGTGTTGGGTGGGCATAGCCTATTGGATGGGTGTGTCCAATTGTGTGGGTGTGGCCCATTGGGTGGGCGTGGCTACGCTGGTAACTGTAGACTGAGCGGGACTAAAAACTTCAATCAATCAATTCCAACTTTGTGAGATCTTTTTTTTTCCCGTGAGAAGTTGAAATTGATTGATTGAATCTTTTTTTTTTTTTTGCACACGGCGGTGGAGGCCTAAAGCAAAAACGTATTATAAAACCCAGCTGAAGGCCTAGGACTGGTGTGAAGGTGCGCGTGCCCACAGAGAGGGCCCTGCACGCCACCTTTGGCATGTGTGCCATAGATTCGCCACCATGGGCTTAGGGCAATTTAAAGCTTCTTTGTGGCTTGAATTCTGCTCTTCTGTTTCTAGGCCTTTTGACCTATAAGTGCAATTGATCCTTCTTTATAACTAAAGCAGGCCACTTTTAGGCCCTTGAGATCTTGGTTTTGGCTGTATTATATACCTTCTGATAGGTGACTCCCTGGGACTTGATTGATTTCTTAGAATACTTAGAAGTGACTTCTTTGCAAGGACTGTATGAAAACTATATTAAGCTGTGGATAATGATCATTTCTGAAACAAATTAATTAACAATATGGATTAACCCTTTAGTAGTGATCACCTTGCTCTGGGGATAAGATAAAAGGGATTAAGCAGTTACCTTTCTGCTTAAAGCAACATCCATCTCCTTTGGCTGGCTGAATTATGTAGCTGCTGCACACGCTTTAGTAATTAAATAATAACATATATGGCCTACGCAGGGTATTTCATATACTTCTTTGATCACTGCAATCACTGAACACAATAAAAAGACATTCAGGACTCAGGGTGGACAATGTTTTTGAGTTAGTGAATTCTTGAGACCCTCTGGAGTCTTTCTAACAAAATAGTTGCATGGCTTTTCCCTTCACAGAATGATTGCCATGCTAAACATTGACCTGAAGCCCTCGCTTCCTAAAAGGTGTTTTGCCTGCAGTCTTCCCCTCAATTGACTAAGGATGCCCTCATCTCTCTCTCCCTCTCACTCTCTCTCCCTTATCCTTTGCTTCACCCACCCCATCCTAGACAACTAAGCATATGTTGGAACAAAACATGGGAGTGTACAGCCTTGTGCTGGGCTCTAAAGCATGTGTATCTGTGTCAAAGAAGGTTGGGAACTTAGTAGGTATTAATGAAGGTGTTCCTAGACATATCTCCAGTACTCGTGAATTATGATTTAATCCAATCATACTGTAAGCATGTTCAAAAAGATGCCAGCTGTCTAGTGGAATAAGACATCCAAATGTTCAATGAAGGGTGCCTAAAACAGGTCTTTGGTTCAGGATGCATTCAGTCACTGAAGCTTTCTACCCATCTCAAGGAATTAATCCTCTGATTCATTCTGGGTAAAATCACCACATTTGGTATATGGGAAAGAAGTGACTACAGTTCCCATCAATAATTTGGAAGGCCAAAGAAGGAGAAGTTCAAAGGATATCTAAACAATGTACCGTATATGCCGGTGTATAAGGCGACTTCCGCAAGCGCTAAAATTGGCGCCAAAGACGGGGGTTGTCTTATACGCCGAGTCGTCCTATACACCGGAAATACTGGTAGTTTCCGGTGTATAAGACGACGTTCTAGGAATGTGGCTCGGCGACAAAGACGGGGGTCGTCTTATACGCCGGGTCGCCTTGTACGCCGGCATATACGGTACATCTATTGGATATCTGCCCAACTTCAGATGCTACTTCTGAAAAAGAATGAATCTAGGGCAGCAACCAAAGTCTGCCTGTTGTTGGAATAATATAATCTTACAGGAGAAATTCCTCTTATTCATCCCATCTTCCCAAACCTACTCTAAAGCAATCAGGGCCGATGTAATGATTGCATGATAGGATTCATATAGAGAAGAGCCAAGGACATCTTACTGCTGAAATCCCCCATGAGAAGAATATATGAATCGGTGTTGCAGTAAAGATCCACTGTGCTGTTTCAGTTCATTCTTGGCTTCATGACAATGGCACAAAGAAGGGGGAAAGGGAAATGGAAGAGTAGTTCTGTATGCTGTTCTAGCCAAACAAAGCTATTGTATAAGCTAGAGAGATGTATGAAACTGAAATATGAAGGCAATTCAATCAAAACATCCTTTCAATTAATTTTACTGAACAGATTCAACACATCAGTTTGAACGGAGTGCCTTTCATATAGTTTCAGAATTCAGTGGAAGGTAGTACATGTATTCAAGCATCCAGATTATTAAGCCGCATTGATTGTGTCAGTTCCATCACAAATCTGAACCAGGTCAAATTGATTCCTAAAATCAAGTTGCAAATTTACATCAAATATATTAGCTGATTTGCACAGCCATAATTATATGCACAGCAAAGCAAGAAGCATTTATCACCTATTCATTCATTCCAAAATGTCTTCTGATTCTGATGCCCTCAAAAAAAAAAAAAAAAGCAAAAGTGTTACTAAATTATAAATATTTTTAAAATCCTTAGGAATGAAATGTAGCTTGAGATGCTGGAAAGATTCCAGAGATGGTCCAGAGATTGAGTTGAAAGTCTTCTCCTTTCCTCTTTCCCATACCCCCTTTTCCCCCCAGAATGTTCTTTAACTCTTAACAAAATGTAAATTTATGAAGAGAGGAAATTTAACATTCTCCTATTTTGTTGATGAAATTCTATCAATAGGATAGTTAACCATGTACCTTTTAGAAAATGGCCCATTGAAAACACAACGTAGAATAGCAGGGCTGGAAGGGACCTTAGAGACCTTCCAGTGTGAACCCTGCTCAAGGCAGGAGTTTTAGACCATCCCAGTCAAATGGCCACTGTATTTTTGAAAACCTCCAGTGATGGAACACCTGCAACCCCAGGAGGCAAGCTATTCCAGTGAGTTATTGCTTTCACTGTCAGAACATTTCTACTTTCTCCAAAGTTGGATCACTCTACCTCCCATGATTTCTTGCCCTCTGGTGCTTTGGAGAATATGTCAGTCACCAAACTGAGCTTGGGTTCCATAAACATGGTATCTTTTGGCTTTTAAAATGCTATGCATTACCACTGTCCACAATGTCAAATGGAGTTTTGTATTTTAAAATATCAGCATGCCTGTCAAATTGTGATGGATGTTGATTTCAAATGTCACTGTTGATAACGCCATTTGGAAGGGCACAAATGAGAAATAAATAGAAAGTGGTTTTCATTTTCATACATCCCTTTTGGGGGGAGGGGGGCTTCCTATTGAACTAATGGCCTTTTTAGTTCCCTCCCCCCGCTCTTCTTTGCAGCATACAAATCTATAATTCCAGTGGACACTTTTTATAATTCAAAATACACTTTGGCTCTTTAAAAAGCAAAGTGTTGCAATACACTATTACGTTTTTAACAGTGTTTCATTCAGAATTTTAGCTGTGAACTTTATCTTCCAATCCATAATTACGCATATTGTTTATTAGCATTTGGTTACATCACAGCAGTGTTAATTCCTTCCTTAGTTATGTGGCATTTCAATAGGTTTTTTTAACACTATTCCTGCAAATAAAGTGGAACAGTTATTTTCAATTAATAAACAACATTAAAAACAAGTATTTCAATTGTTAAAAGGGAAGTAATGACAGCATTTAGCAATTTCCCCATTTATACATATGTGAAATTTGAAATATCTCTCATCACTAAATTGACATTATTACCAATACCTTTTGACATCTTAATTTGTATGTGGCAAGGAGTAGATTTTGCATTTGGCAAGGTTGTTACAATGTAGAAAATTGTATATTACTACACTCTGGAGAATATTTTAAATTGGGATAGAGCAATCTAATCTGGAATGGTAGCCTAACAACTGTGAAGGGTGTGTGATCTCCATGCTTTGCAAAACAGAAGGAAAGAGATAGAAGTTTGTATCAACATATTTTTAAATTCCCTCTTCCACAGGATGGAGGTGTGGTAAAGGATATAGGTTCTATTGATACCTTGCTGTACCCCAATTCTTTTTAACCTCATTTAAGAAACTTGTCTAAGGTTTCCAAGAATTTTGATGCCAGATCAGCTGGTCTTGGATATTACTTACGACGACAATAGGAAGGCTACAATCTATTCTGAAGTCAGCCTCTCTCCAATCTTACTGAGGAAAATTAGATATCCCCTGGATCCAAAGGGATCCAAAGGCCTTCTTGTGTTTAAATGCTGAAATGTTTCTATATATAAAATAGTGACTTTTAAAACAAATTATTTTTAACTATGGTCCATTTATTACTTCAGCTGCTACTCGTATCTGAATTTAGGGGGAAATGTTTGGGTAATTGGACAGAAATCTACACAAGATGCATTCTAAATCCTGCAGAAGCAATAACTTTATACTGACAACTAGACTTGGACGAGAAAGTAGCATCTAATTTGGAATAGAGTCCTATCATGGCACCATTTCAGTTTGCACTTTTAAAATTAATTTCAATGAAGATGAATTTTTCTTATAACAATGACCCATCATTGCCTTAGAGAAGGGTTCCTTTCTGAGGGAGAAGAGTTCCTTTCTGAGGATCTAATGGAAACGAATTTTTATGTTATGCTTGTCCCTCGTCTTCTTATGCATATGCTTGACAGACTGGACAAGACAAATGCCTCTTCTGTTTGTTTGGCCTGATGTGAATAACACCATTATGTTAGGACCTGCAGTTTGTAAAACCAGAATAGCTGGGGAGACCATCCAACCAAAATATTATTAAGGTTTTTCCTCCTAAAAGTGAACACTCCATTGTCTGTTTGCTCTCTATTCATATAACAAGAACCAAAGTATTTACATCTCAAAAAGTCTTAACATCTGAGATGCTTCTTGCTGGACATATCATTCCAAATCCTGTGCATTTCCTCAGGGGATATCTGATGTACCGTAATAACACGCCGATATCTGCACAGGCTGTAGGCCATCTTCCAGTGATTGAAGCCACTGTTTTGGAAAGGATGGATGCCAAGCTTCCGCAGACAGAGTCCCACATAGACGTCCTCAAGATGAAGAAGTCTAGTATGGAGGGAAGTTTTGTAAATCATCTCTGCTACATCAGCAGAAAAAATATAGCCTGTGCCTGAGCAAAATGGCGGATAGTTGCTGTCAGGATACAAGTCCCTAGGCATGTACCATTTGCTCCGGACATCCCTGATGGGGCCTCCATTGATGACATAGCCAGTAAAGTACCTTCGTCTTGGTTTGGTGTTCGGTTTTAGCAACTTGTAAATAAGGTTGTCCATATTTACAAAAATGTCGCTGTCTGTTTTCATGATATACTTGGCTTTTGAACAAAATGTAGCCACCCACTTCATTCCCATTAATGTTTTCAGAGTCAGGTTATGATATGAGTCAATGAAATCTTCCACAATGATGTCATGAAAAATTTGACTTTCTTGCTCAACCATCTGGTTTAATACAGAATCTGTGTTTTTCCCCAGAAGAAAAAGAGTGGAAATCTTAATGCCTTTGAAGTTGTTCTCATCTCCCCAGGTCTCCCGGATGGCTTGTCGAGCATCAAACTCTTTGTGTGTTGTGCTGATCAGAATAACCAAAAAGGGAACATTCTTCTCACACTTCTCTGGCTCATTTATGAGAAAATCAAATGAATGAGGGTTTATTGGTCGAGTCCTTATGTTCCCAAAGGAAACATTTTTTCGAGCCATTGCGATGCTGTCGTACGTTTTGTGAACACTGTAAGATGAAGTGTAGGAGGAAGTGGGACGTGTTATGCTTAAGTACCACAAAGCACTTGCCCAACATACAACTGTCAAGACATATAAACACGAGACTTTTGAAGGCATTGTTCCTGAAGTTCTTCTAATTAACAGAATGAACCAATTGTCTTCTTGCCGCTTGCTTCCCTTGGTCTGACAGAGGCAGCATGTTATTTTTCAGATCTTAAACGTCTGACACAATAACTGTGTGCCACTTGCTCATCGAAATCCATGAAAAGGCTTTAAGAGGGATGTGTTTTCTTGCCCAGTCTAAGGATAACTTCCATTTCTTGGGCTGAGGTGTTATTTCTGAAAAACATAAATGAAAAAATGGCGTATTGGTAGTGCTGTTTTATTCTGATAGTCGAATAGCCTACCTGAAAGCTGATGTGAAAGGCTAAATTATAACCATCCCATTTTGTGCAGAACATAGTTAATAAGCAAAGTGATATGAACTTAAGAATCATGGTAAATAGTTCCAAATCATTCCTCCTATAAGATCTTCAGCAAACCTTAAAATATCCATCCCCAAATTAATATTTAAGTTGGTTTGATTTGGGGCAAAGTCCTAGCATGATTTAAGTCACATGAACAGCCATCTTACAAAAGGAATGAGAGAGCACAGCACAGAATTGTTGGAGCTAATAGATATTTAAGAGCAGTCTTAATCCACTGACAGTAATTGTAGTTGAATTCCATGGTCTGGGAATAAGATTGCACTGTTAATTATTGAAAGTACTTCTCTGCTGTATTTTCTCAGACAACTCTAAGAAGCTTAAAGGAAAACATATACAGTACTACATACTATAAAGGTCAACAAATAATTTATATTTATAGATGCTTCTATTTACATGCATTCTGTCTAAATCTGTAATAAAGTATTTACTATTACTCTACAAAGAATAATACTTTAAGATCTGATGATACTAAGTTTAAAAAGAGAGAAGTTTCACCAAACCTTGCAGGTCTGGATAAATGATAAGCATATATTATTAACAAATTCTAATAATAATAAAAATATTTTTCCTGTTGCAATTAGAGAATATTAAGCAGTGATAAATGTCAGACCTTATAAAATTTATCAAATGAGATTATGATATAGAATTTAGAATACAAAGTTTATTATGCTCATAGAACCAAAACGAAACATCACTATTGCAAGACTGCATAAACAGAGCATTTAGCAGGGCAGAGTTTTACACATAATATAACAAAACATAGTAATATTTAGGGTCACACAATTGCCTTTGTTGTCTAAATGCCAGCATATAAGATTATGAGGGCAGGAGGTAACAGATGTGGAGTCTTCTCATCTAAAAGATGGTTATAGATGGCTGCTCCCTTTTGGTTTTTTTTAGTATTGTCTGCATTCTGTTGATTGTTCTAAAGTAATAGAATTATTGTTTTAGCCCATATTGTCTTTGGCTTGGTGAGACAATGTGCAGTGCTAATAAGATCAACAAAGGCATGATTATTAGATGTTTAGCAGCAATCCCTATACAGGTAGTCCTGGTTTAATGATTGCAATTGGCATCTAGATCATTAAGTGGTTACAAAGTGAAAAAAAATCACATGATCACAACTGTATCCATGATTTTACTTCAGCTTTCCATCACTTTACAGCTCAGAAGACACAACCCTAAACAAATCGCAACAAAGGGTTGTGGAACTTCTCATGAAGAATCCGAATAAAATGGCAAATCTTATAGGCCTTTCTCCCCACTACCCCTCCCTTTGGAATGTTCAACCTGATGCTGTATGTACGTTCATTTGAGAGAAAGGGATTGCAAGAGAGTAAGCAGGCACTCCATGGAGAATAGACATTGAAGGAAATGCCCTAGACCAGGGGTGTCAAACTGCCGGTCTGTGGGCCGGTTGTATCATATGGAGGCCGTGCCCACACCAGCTCCGGCAATGCAAAAAAAGTCACGACATGTTGTGACACATCACATGACGTGGTGAGTTTGACACCCGTGCCCTAGAATGTCTGCATAAAATGATTAGGGTATTTGTCAATTTTAGTCAGCCGCTAAGAGCTGGCAGCGTGTTCTAATCAACTAATTAAAGCCCCAGAGCTGAGTTTTCTTAACTTGCAGTTAGCATTGTTTAGGGATGCACTACAGAGATAAGCAACTCAGGAGGGAGATAGCTTGTTTTGGCAATCTCTCTACTCTGCTGGAGAGGGGGAGAGGGAAAAAAAGAGGTCAGGCACAGGACAATACATACTAACTGAATGCAATGGGGAACATATGTCTGAGAGACTTGGCCCACAGAATTGCCAAGAGTCAGACACAACTAAATGGATACCATTATCATCATTGCTGCAAAGGTTGTAACTTTGGTCACAAAGTTACTTCTTCATTACTGTTGTAATTGCGAACAGCTGCTTTCTGAGGCAGTTGCTAAACAAGGACTATGTGTAATGAAGAAACTCATCTACCACCCTTAGTTTACATGAGATGGTAAGATTTATCTTTCTTTCCTAAAAAATATCCCCAGTATGTCATAAAGTTGGTTTCTTCCAGATGTCTCTGTAATTCCAAGACAAAATGGTTCATGCTAGGGAACGCTGTCAAACTGTATAGAGGTTGTACTGTTAAAAAGCTCTTTGGCCTTCAGAGGTTCATGTTGCAACCCAGAGGCATCTCAGAGGATCAATAATCTTTTAGGGTTCTGTTTCATATGAAACAGACACAGAAAACATTCAGACTTCACATTTCTAGTAAAATAAAATGATAGTTGCCATGGGAGGGCCCCTAGACAATAAGGCTGTTCTTTATAGTTGAGGATGCAAAGGTGAAACAAGAGGTGCTTTACTTCACAGAGCTGTGCTGCAATTCTTCAAACAGTCTGCATAGAAACAGACCTACTTATATGTCATGTCTTAAAGCCCAGCTTTGTTCTTTATTAACAAAGGTGTTGGTTTAAAATAGGACCCCTTGGTAACAAATCAAAACAAGGAAATTCTAAGAGTTGTAAGAAAAACCTTAAATAATGTTGCTGTTAAGATGATTTTTCAGTTTTTGTTTTTGTTTTAAATATGCCTTTATGAATGCTACTTTTCTAATTTATATTGCCAAAATCCAACTGAACCTAAGTCAGGGGTCTCCAACCTTGGCAACTTTAAGACTTGTGGACTTCAACTCCCAGAATTCCTCAGCCAGACATGCCAGCTGGGGAATTCTGGGAGTTGAAGTCCACAAGTTGTAAAGTTGCCACGGTTGGGGATCCCTGCTTTAAGTAACACTGCTTTAACTTTTCAGCTGCTGTTGAATTACAACTTTTAGTAGCACCAGCCAGCATGGCCAGCTTTAGGAACTTTAGCACCAGTTCAATAACCAGTTCTTGAAAATCACAGGTTCCCCAATCCTGCTTTAATTGGATTGAAGAAAATACACATAGACACACACATCATGATGATGTAGCTGTTGTTTCAAATGCTGAAATGATGTCTATTTCAGTTATTGATAACTAGGGTTGTTGATAGAAATCTGTAAGAGTCCACCAGCGTTATTAAGGAATTTATATACAACCCTTCAGGATAAGTTTTTAAGATATAAAAATCTTAAGAGATAATTAAAATAGTTTATACAATTTTTATTTTTTAATTTGACTTATTCTGATAGAAAATATAGTAAAATATATACGCCACATACATTTTAGGAATAGCAAGACTGGAAAAAAAGTCATTTGGAAATCAAAATTGGTGGTCAACTCTGTAATAATTGGAGATATATAGACCATATCAGTTTGTTAGCTGACTGTGAAGAAGATTTAGTTGTTATAAAACTAAAAAAATGGACTATGAAAAAGCAGGCTAAAGTGAAATATTAACTAGAGAAAAGTAATGCCAAACTGCACATAAACAGTTGACCGTGAAAAAAGTAGTAGAGAGTATTGTTTTTAATCAACACAAAAGATAAACAATGTATTGGAAAAATGTAATAGGAGATTAATCCCAGTGGAATAAGCTATGTCAAATTTAGATTAGATCAAGATTAGATCATGAGGGATCCAATGCCAACAGATATCACATCAATGGTCTTTTTAGTGGTAAAGGATGACTATGAAAACTGGGTTCTTTTGAAGAGTGAGGAAGATAAATGGGTATGATTGAATGATGAATTTGGAAACAGACTATGAGGATCATGGACTGGAAGAAGAGGCCATCAACCAATCCTGAACAAAGCAAAGACTGATGACTCACTTGAGGTAATGATCAGCCATCAGAAATTCACATTCTTTGGGCCCATGTAAGCTGACTATGGCGTCTAAAACATATTGTGACCAACAAGGTTGGAGGAAGAAGAAGAGAAGGAAGATGAGAGGGACAGGATTAAGGAGATTACTGTAATATCCTTGAAACAGCAGCGAGTAATTACTAAAAACAGACCAAGGTGGTGAGCATTTGCCAACCGCATTAGTGAGAGGCCAGCCTGAGTGGGTGGAGCCTAACTGACTTCCTAGCTTAATTGTGAAGAACTAAGCTTTAATGCAGAACCGGTATGGTCCTCTGAATGTACCGTAGATGAATGCCAAGATCCAGCATCACTTGGCATTAGCCAGGCTGGCAAGGCACTTGGGAGGTGTAATTAGGAACATCCAAATGCCTGCCTGCTCCCTGCTCTTCTTAATGGCTTTGCAATTGAGATCTGCAGGAGAAAACAATAGATATAGCATTTAATGAAACTAACTTTTAGCATAAACCTCAAGCAGGAAAGGAGGAACAGCAAGAATAATAGAAGCACTTTTCATGTTATGTGCTGGGTAGCATTGGTTCTTCAAAGTTTTGAGTGGGAGTCTTCTTCAGGCTTTCCCGGAGAAGGCCAGGAACAGAACATTGAAGTCTTCTGCATGCAAAATATGTACTTTGCCATTTCTTCACCTTTATACAAAATTGTATTTTTTCATATGTGTGGTCCCAGAAGCATCAACCTTTTGCTTTCCCCTTCCTCCAGCCTCCCTGAAGTATTCTTAGATGTCTCCCTGATTCTGTGCTGTATGTTAGGTCACCCATGATTACATCAATCACAATTGGTTCCAGCGCTAACATGTAAATTGCATCCCAGAGGGCTTATAAACTGATGCAAATTACACATTTCACCTTCAGTTACCATAGCCACTGAGATTAATTTTCAGCTGTGAGCTTGCCCAGCAAACCTTTCCCCTTCTTGTCTCTATTAAATATAATAAAAAGCTGGAGCAGCAAATACAAAAGGCCACTTCTGAGTTCTCTGAGCTCTTTTCTTTGCAAGTAAGAACTCTTTCAAGGCCTATTAACAAACACTTGTCTTCCCAATAACTGTTGA